TCCTCTTCCTGTCTTATATAAAATAATGTGAACACACTATGTCCTCTGTCCATAGAAATGAAATGAACCACTGATGTCCATAACCAGAGCTGAGCAGTGTCACAGTCTCAGTGTCCAATCTTAAGATTGAGAGATTTGAAAGTTAATCCTTAAGCAGGATCCTCTCAAATTATTCCAGTGTAATAAAAAGTAAAGTACCCAGGAGTGGATTTCCACTAAAACCAGGTATGAGACATTGCTGCCTTGGCTGCACTTCATGCTGTCAGCATTAGTGAAACTCTCATATATGCAGCGACAAACACTCACTGGGGCTTTATGACTTCAATACACTCGGTGCCAATTCATGTGTCTGGCGCCCTTAAAGTGATGTGTGGAGAGGAGTGAAACAAGAAATCAACAGAAACCAAGACAAATCTATTGACGAGATTCCTTAAGGTCAGCACACAGAAAATTGATGTTAAATAGTTAGAGGAAATGTTTACTGAAATATACAAGAAAATAACTTTATGGTATTAAAAAACTTCACTCAAGCTACAATACAAATGATCTCCAGAAACCAAGCCTTCTTAAAGTAAAATTAATAAACCCTCTTGTGTAGAAAGGTCTGATTCCAAGTTCTCTATGATTTTTACACTGCATGTCACATCCCGTTAATATTCTGACTAGTCAAGGTTGAGCTCAACATGCAAAAAAACTACTTTCAGGTACATTTACTTCAGTGCAAAACATGTGTTTGTTTTCCTCTTTAATGTGATGAAGGTTAGGTATAAAGATGCACAAAGTAGAAATACTAAATTACTTTTACTGACACCAGGTATGGGACTAAATGTTGATACTGCAATAAATTGTCACCCTGACTGGTGTGATGCAATTATCGAATCAATACCAAATATTGACATTTTAATAAAAAATAATAAAAAAAACAATCTGATTGCCTGCCAATTTTACTCACTGCGTAACTGCTACATGATTCTCATGGCGGCGCTTATTACTAGAATGAGGGTAACATAAACGGAAGTTAATTGGCCAAAGGAGGTGACGGCAGGATCATTTTCAGACAGGGGTAGAAAAGAAGATAAAGGATGAAACATGACAAGAGGGGAAACTCCAACCAGTGAATGTAGTGACTTAATATATTAATCTTGCAGTTACCCTTTTAAGGGACATTTATATTCCTTAAAAATATTGTGTTGTATCATTATATGATTCTTGCAATATAATAATTATCCCAGAATCGCTCTATCAGGTTATTGACATTATCATGGGCTGCTTATTGTATCATATCATGAGTGTAACCCTACAACCCCTATCAAACACCTATAGGTACATAGTTGTCCTTAGGTACAATACTTGAGACCCTTCAGCACAGTTGAAATGTGCCTGAATACGAGCTGCATCTATACAGTTTTAGCGTCTGGTAGCAGCACTTTGTCGAAAAATCAGCGTGTCCCCCGACTTGTCCTCTTCCCCTTCTGGCCTCTAACACATCACACTCTCACGTATGTGGCTGAAGCCAGGGGGATGCAGTGTCTATGATGCACCATGGCCTCTCTAATGAGGCCTGACTCTTAATGACTCAGAGCCCGCAGCAGCAGACAGCGACGGCCAGCAGCAGGGCTTATCACATTGGCACTCTGCGCTGCGCGGTTACACCTGTAACCTTTAGATCACTCCAAATTAGCCTGCTCCGGGAATCCTTCAGTAGTGATTACAAAACAGATCAAGTGGCCTGCAGAATTCTCATAAAAAATTGTATGTGAGGCTTCTGCTTGAATTTAGAGAGATAATGGGCTGAATGTGCAACGACATGTCGCACACAGGAGCCCACATCTGATCAGGCATTCTCTCTGCCGCTTCCAGACAAGATTGCAACAGCAAGCCGTGTTTCCATTGACTGGTTTCCATTATGCAGATGTAAATTAACACAAGCCAGACCAAACTGAGCATTGTGATAAATGAGCACATAGTTCACTGAGATGAGCCTGGGAGGCAGCTGGGATCCATAGATGGGAGGTGAGCTTGTGACTTGTGCCAGTCAGTCATGCATGCTGAGCATCATTCATGGCAGAGTGCAGGTGCTGGTCAGCCAGGGGACAAGGTGCTTAATTGCATTGCACTTTAATAAGTCACACACTGAAGACACATGGCTTTAATCATGCAGATGTTTCTAGTGATGGCCAATACTCGGGACATGGGTGTCTCATTAATGCGAATGTCTCTATCGGATACTTGAGATTCATTTTAATGGATTCAAAGATTCAGAACTCCTTATCCTCACGTACACCTGAACACTAAACCCTGAGGCTTGTCCTTTGCTCTTCTGTCTCTATCAATAGCCAAGAAGTTATTGCTAATTCAGCATTTTGTGGATCGCAGCGATTTAGAGGGTTTCACAGCATCAGAATTCAAGGTGGTGAGGAACAAAGATGAATTAATTAAAGAGAAAAAACAGTCTCTGAAGAACATTTAGTTTGGTGTAAATGAACACATTTGAAGTCAAAATTGAAACAAATTGGTTTTTTTTTTGTTGTTGACCACAGCAGATAAAGGGAGGAGGCGTTCAGGAGAGACCCAAGTGATAAGCTTCATATTGATCCTACTTGTGAGTCTTATACAGTGCTCTTTGTTCACACTTGCTGTATGCAGAATAAACAATGAGCAGGACGTCTCTGAGACCCAGTGAACCGTCATAAAAAGTGTATTACATTTTGTCCTTTTTTTCAACACTGAAATGTTAAAACCCACGCTACTAGAGGACAGGTATCTGTTCAGGCAAGACAAATATCAAGAGTTTCGTGTCCTTGACATTAAACTCTGTTCCACTGACACATGCTGTGCTGCGCTGCACATAGATATGAGTGTAGGTGCTGTGTGACCAGATATAACAGGGTAGGAGTTCAGATTGAATCTGTGATAACACGACCCATTAGGATTACGTGGACTTCAAATGTTCTAAGTGTAGTCTTGATGTTTTCTTGAGATTAACTTTTGTTTATTTTTGGGAAGGAATGTAGGTATACATCATCAAGTAAGCTCCATTGGCAACTATACGTACAGCCATTTCATTACGACTAGAACAATGAAGAAAAACAAAATAACATAAAATCTCCTTCCTCATGGGTCTTCCTCAGATGGAAACCTATCAGTGTTGAAAAAGTAACCCAGTTCCTTGAGTGTCCACCTGTAACTGGCTCCAAAATCCAAGACCTCGATTTACAGCAACAATGTGAAACTTTTCCATCTTGTAATAGTTCAACAACTTCCAACAGGCAGAATAGTTTCCCTCTTATGTCCACAGGTCGCCCCGGTTGTCTGCTTATAGCAATATGTGATGTTGGCAGCGGGCCGCGCTTCTCCCACTTTAAGTGCATATGGCTTTGCAGCACGAGCCAGTTAGCCCATCAGTGCACTGTTTGATACAATGGCTGAGGCTAAGAGACGAAAGAGGACGGTGAGGGATGAAGCCAAGAAGAGAAAAAGAATGTGACTTAGCAAGAAGAAGAGTGATTTCTGAGATGGGGAGTAGTGGGGAGACATACCAAGACTGTGTTTTTTAACAGTGCGGACTCAGTTGCACTCTGAGATCTTCAATTGGGGTCAAAGGACACCAAACCAACTTCTTACATTTTGTTGATTTTTAGTCCCGTGTTTAAAATGTCCATTTTTAGCTGGGGAAGGAGCAAAGAGTAATAAACATGTTCACAGCCTGGTGCAACAAATGGTTTTGGGCTCTATAGCTCTTTGTTTATTGGGAAAAACTGAACAGGAATGATTGTATTTTTAAACTGATCCCATTATATTAAAGAACAAGAGTTTTGTATGCATTTGCATCATTAAGGAAGTACGACGGGGAGGACCATTGTAGCGAACATGCCCAAATAAAATCATGTCGGAAAAATCGGAAAACCACAACATAAATGTAAGTTTTCGAGCACAACTTGGTCTCTGGATCCCTGTTATTAAATCTCTGTGTTTTTGAATTAGTCTCTTGCTGGTTGGTGGGGTTAGACAAAAAAATCTGTGTAAATTAATCTTTTAACTTGTTCCCTGATTACTACAAACAAATGCATCATGTCATCGATAAATAGGCAAATCTGAGGGATCCCATTCATTTTAAGATATTCTTTGGTGGTTGGTGGTTCATTGGAAAAGTCATATTAAAAATAATCCCATGGAGGTTAAAGGTTGGAACTTCCAACAAGACATTTTAGCTCTGTGGAAAAAATATATATATATTTCCCTATAATGTTTCTGCAACAAACAAAGGGAACAGAATAATCGTATTTGTTAACACAATAAACATAATGAGAAATCCTCCAGGCTTATGTTGCCCTGTCCACCAGACTGAGCCTTTGTAACAGTTTACATGCAAAAGAATAAAAAAAAGAAACGTTGAATAATTTATTAAGCAAAGAACAAAAGCAGCCATATTATTTTGTGTGTCTGTGTTACGTCTTAATTCAGAATTCACAATGGATGAAGGGCAGAAGAATCTCAAACCCGCCCTCTGACCTTTGGGAGGAATCATTAAGAGCAGTGTAGAGAAAGAGAGAGATGACAAACACATCAATGTTTTGTTCACGCCTGCATTATCATTGAGATAACCCTTGTGTAGGCTTAGTTAATGAGTACAGATAATGTGAACTTGTCCCATTGTGGACAAGCTACTTGTAGATTTTGAAGTGTGTACAGAGTTCATTATATCCAGTCCTCTTGAGTTAATGTAGGCTTTTATTCCCGTGTGTAACTTCAGCGCGTCCATGGAAACCAGGTAGGAGGGATGCTGAAAAATGGGCTGAAAACTGTGTGGTCGGATGCGGAGGCTGTGCAGAGTAAATTGGTCTTTCAAGAGCAGCTTTTGTGAACTTTCCCCCTGTTGAGATTCTTGATCCCATAAGAAATGTATGAGTTTGTATGCGCGCATGCGTGCCAAAGCAAGCATGGAAGCGTGTGTCTTCTGTGTGTCATCATAAGCTCATTATTTTTCCTCTCTCCCACAGATCTGCGACTTGTCATCACCTCTCACAGGGAGTGTGTATGTGTGCAGCGGCACAGCGGCGCTTCTGTCACTTTGTGCATCCAGAGCCCCCTCAGCCTCACAGAAGAAAAAACCCTGGGGACCACAGGCTGCAAGATTAGGTGAGCTTAAGGTCACAAGCCTCTGGCTGCCTGCTCTGGCCACATATTCAAAACATTTTTTTTTTTATCACTTCTTGGCCTCCTGTTTCAAGCTTACAATTGATTTTAAAAATGTGACATGACAAGTTTTGAGGTATTCCACTTTTCCCTTTTTGCCGTTCTGAGGACTGAGGGTGGTGGTCTAATCACGGGTGCAATAAAAGCTTTCAAGTCAATCAAGCAGAGTCCCTTTAGTATTTAACAGGATTGTGGCAGGGAGGGGCCTGAATATGAAAGCAGCCCTTAGCCCTTAAAACACGTGTGTGTCTTGATTAATCATCCTGTTAAGGAAATGAACATGACTGTAACCTCTGCCTGTTCAGATGAACTGCTACTTAGAGGAAGTGGAGGCCTGATTGATTTTCCCTTCAGATGTGAGTGAACTACAAGCTGCTATCAATGCAGAAGATTAGCTGAACATGTGAATGCCTGTGTTATTGGATACAGTCACTCAGAAATATTGAACACACACTCTTTAACACACCAAAGCATATGGAGAGCACACACAACCAAATGTTTACTGCAAACATACTATCATGTTTGCCTCTGACGTTTCATATTGAGTAAAAAATAAATGCAAATACAGGTCACATCTTTATGTTTATTTTCATGTTTATTTTTTTCTAAACAGTGTGTGTGTGTGTGTGTGTGTGTGTGTTTGTTCTCAATGTCATATTCAGACTCTACATAAGATACAGTTATGTTACCGCTAATGGTATCCAAGCATTATGAGATATGTTGTATGTCAGTCAAACATGAGTCAACTGTACATCCTTTATCTTTTGTATTTGCTAAGGTAAGACCTGCACATGTTCTGAATACATCACTGTCATGTCTGTTGATCATATGCGCTCTTCCTGTGGCTCTGTACATCTAATGAAATATCCCGCTGGTCTTTACAAATCAGCGTCTCTGTCACTGTCACAGGGAGGTGTCATCTTTTTGAAGCTCTTATTGAAGGAGAACAAATGCTTAAGAAGCAAATGCATAGCTTAAAAAATAAATAAATAAATAAATAAATGTCTTAAGAAGTTTGAAAACATGTACTTGCATTTGTGGCCAGGGTGGGCAATAAAGTTTGTTACTGCCCTTTTCTTGTTTCTATGAAGCTCAAACTGACTGCAGCTAGCTCTACTTAGCATAAAGATTGGAAACAGGGAGGAAGCAGCTTGTCTTGCTCTCCCACAAGAGCTCTTTCTAGTTCCTCTTAAAGGGCCTTCAGTGTAAAAAAAAAAGAAAAAGCTATCCTCTAAATTATCCCAGAGCACAGTGGGAACTTTCTCTATCTATCTTCTACTTCCTCTCTTCTCAGGAGTTTTTAACTTAAGTTAGAAGTTTTGAGACAGCATCACATTTTGCCTCAGTTTGGGGTATAGTTGCCCCTACGTCTTCTTTCAGTTGACTCAATTGAGCAAGAGTTTGATGTTGTGGTATTTTACATATTACATTTGATAAGCAGTTTTGTATGTGGATTTTGATGTTTGAACTGTGATTCTAGCTGTTCCAACTTGCATTATGCTAAGTTAACGTGGTGCTAGCTGTAGATATTCTTTTCCACATATACTGTATGTGGTGTCAGTTTTCTCCTCCTCCCTAAGGCCAGAAAGCAAATTATCTATGTCCAATTTTTTTGTCTGTTTCTTCAAAGGTGCATCCAGAACAAACATCGGAAATGTGCAGTATAGCTTTAGAAGACATGATACAATTTCAGGGATGTCATTTTGTGTATTTTGTGCATGTCCCTTCAAAAGTAACATAAACTAAACTTAAAGTCCAACCCATTTCTCAAACGGTCTGGCCTTGTCACAGAAACTACTTCAAAGTTTGTTTCATTACTCCAGGTACTTCCTAAAGGTGGGCTTCAAATGAGTATTAGCAACAACATGTATCTTTTCTTTCTGCTCTCCTGTCTCCTGCTCAGAGTGAAGAATGGGGTTATCTGTTGCCCTGCCGGCCCTTCTGCTTGTTCTTGGCTTGACCGCTAATGTATGGACTCTGAACCCAGATGACCCCAACGTCTGCAGCCACTGGGAGAGGTGAGCATTACCCTCTTGTATTTACCACAGCACATTATAATCTTTTATTGGAAGAGAAAGCACTCTGGATAAGCAGCACCAGCTCCCTCCACTGGCGTTGTCAATCCTGGTGCTCGGGATGTACCTGTTACAAATGCTCTTAACTAAAGTTCCAGATCTATTTTCAAAGTCCATACAGCAGTATCGATCCCACACGGCGCAGGTCGCCAGGCAGCTGAGAGATGGGAGGAGCTGTAGCCTCAAATGAAATACGCAGGCAAATTGATCAGTGTGCTCTCATCCCAATCAATCACAACATGGAGCCTGAATAATTATTAGTTGTGCTGGGCACTGTCACTTATGAGAAATAAGCAGGAATAATTTCTGCCCTCAATGCAGAAGGGAGGAAAGAAAGCTGTGAAGATATATTATCTGGATTATTGCCTGACCAAGGTGAAGGTACTTAGGGATGGAGGTTCCACCTTGTTGGCGTCGAAATGAATCCTTTAGCTGAGCTGTGTTCATGGCTTTGAGGTCTCCAATATCCTCACACTGCCTCTGGCTGAATATATCACCTAAAAGCTCCTTTCCACTCTTCTCTTTGCATACCACAGTTATTGTATTACTTTGAGCAGGACTGTATCCACTGACCCAACCTGTATGCTGTTACTTTTATTTCTCATGGAAATGAAAATCTGTTATCAGCAGTGTTCTTTACTGAAATAAAGGATCTGAATCCTACTTTCATTAATAAAGTGTAAGTGCGAAAATCTACTATATATATATATATATATATATATATATATATATATATAACCACTGCAAGAAAATGTCTTGCATTTAAAATGAAACAGATACAGGGCAAAAGTACAAACTTTTTAAAATAATTTTTAAAAAGTAGCCATTCTAAAAGTACTTTGAGAACATCTTCCCAAGCAAAGTATCTTGTTCATGATCAGGATAATTTTATTGAATTGGTTATTCATGAATCGATGTTTTTTAGTAGCACAACTTTGATATTGCAACTGGTAGAGCTTGAGCTACTTTTATACAGTTTAGTTCAGTTGAATAGTTTAGAGACCAGTGGTTTTCATCCTATGGACTCGGCCTCTCCAGTAGAGTAAAAGGAGGAATCTAAGCTGATTTCGGATAAAGGGGGTCCCTGACCAAAGATTTACATAGTCAAACCTTGATCGTTAGATTTTGCCTGTCGTCGATTGATCATTGAACGCCTTTTTTTTTTTTTTGCACTTGTTGATCCATTTTCTCATTTGCAACGTAAGAGATTAATCACACAATCAAACTATTTGTCTTCTTGACTTGGAATAACAATTTATTCTATTCTAGGACACGATCCATCCATTTGTCTCGCCCATCTCCCATACAGACGGGCCGTCAGTGTGTGCGCGGATTCAACCATCACAACAGCCACATCTGTCGCATCTGTCAGAAAACTGACAAACAACAATTTCTACTGTCTTTTCACTCACCATTTAAAGATTTACTGTACTCTACTGATCATAAATGTCCAACAAAATCCTGTGAAAGATTAAATCCAAACACATTACGTCATTAAATATTTGGAGAAGACAGGCACATCTATGTCAAGTTAGACATTGAGCACCCCCATACAGCTGTAGTGGAATGATCCTTGTGTTCAACTGTGAGACTGGCAGTCGACTGAAGCACTTTTGAACGAATAGTCGTTTTAAACCAGACTTAAATTTGTACTGATGTCTTTCATATGACCTTTTAAAGTAGATCAGCAATCAGAGACAGGACTGTTTTTATTTGTATTGTCTGACAAAGGCTGCCAAGGGGTAAGTGTCAGACGAAGTGAGATGCAGCTTGCTGCTAAAACAGCCTTTGTTTATATTTTCCACAGCAAAGATTCACAAAAGTGATATATTTGACTGTCAAGGAGAAGCAGGTTAAGATTTTCCTTTCAGAAACACAACTTACTCCACAGGGGGCGCAATCATCAACACAAACTGAAAGTTCCTTACAGGAGATTTAATCGGACAAAAATTAGTTTTCTATAATGTTTTTTTTTGTTATTAGTTATTAGAGTTAGTTTCTTCTTATTGACTGAATAACTCTTATGATAAACTGCTCATGTTCTGTAGCATTATAATGACCTCTGTGTATTTTCATTTAATATTTTATTTTCTTTAGGAATTATTAAAAGATAGATATCCCAAAAAGATTATCGGAATACAGATTTGTAATTAAAGCTGTCAGAGAAGTAAATTCAACAGGAAGTATATTTTCCCTCTGACATGCGGTGAAGTAGAGGGATCAAGTTGCAACTCAACTGCATCCACTCGGGAGTCGTCACGGTACCTGAATTACAGACTTCTTAACTTTGATACCATACTTCTGATACTAGTAACCATCAAATGATTTCAATACCTGTTATCATTGCAATTTCTTGTTTTGATATTAACAACAATGTGAAGCAATGTATATGTATGTATATGTATGTATATGTACACTCAGGACAGTGCTCTCATCCTTTGGTTTAAAAATATCATTAAAGATCTGTCGTTTCCGTTTTGGTCCCTTTTTGATTCTAACAATAGTTAAAATGACAGAGACTTTATCTTTTTAAAATGTGTGGTTTCAAAAAGTTTTAATATGAAAAATGTTGACAACCTTAATCCACTGTTGATTTTTTCCACCTGTCTTTCAGCTACGCTGTTACGGTCCAGGAGTCCTATGCTCACCCCTTTGACCAGATCTATTACACCAGATGCACCGACATCCTCAACTGGTTTAAATGCACACGGCACAGGTACATCTGAAGAGTCTCCTTATATGTCCCCAGATTTGTGTCATCAGCACCCTTTACTTTCCCCCAAAACCTGAGCCAAGTCTATGAAGGCCACAGTAACTGTCCTTGTTAATGTGACTCACAGTGAAGTGGTCAAAGCCAGGATGCCTTTGACTCTAATCATCTCATTGTAAAATATTTAATTACTCCATTTATGGTTTATAGTGGGCAGACTAAATAAGTCTAGACTAAATAAGTACACAGAGTCACCTCCCAAATACTGACTTTTACACAGTTTGTACTTTTCTCTCTCCTTGTTTTACTTCGAAAGATGGCTGATGGAATTGTGGTGCAGTTTACTTTTACCCCTCCACATGTATACCTGACCTTCACAAATGGTCACTTTTTACCTCACGTAGCTGTCTCTGTGTGTCTGTTTTTCCAGGATCAGCTATAAGACGGCTTACCGGCGGGGAGTGAGGACCATGTATAGGCGCCGCTCACAGTGTTGCCCTGGTTACTTTGAGAGCGGAGACTTGTGTGTTCGTGAGTATTCCCTTTTTTTTCTTCTTAAACTCCTTTGTCCTCCATGATGACATTTTCAGACTATGTCTGCAGACAAGGAGGAAATAGTAGGATTGATCATTTCTGTGGGTGGCTCTCCCCCCTCCCGTCACCTCTGCCATCCCTACTCCATACTGATCCTCTTTATATGAACACCCAATAATACACCACCACTTCCTCCTCCTCCTCAGTCAGCATGCAGCCACCCTTGTGAATTTACTAAGTTTCAGATGATTGAGCATGATTTAACAAGAAGGCACAGTATTTTACACCGCACAGTGCTCTTCCAGGCAGAGTAATTTAATTGAAGTTGTATAACAATGAGAAAAATTAACGAGCCAAGAGGGCCCAGGTTACAGATTGAGTTGGTATAGCACCCTCCATAAAACCACAGCGGAGTTCAATAACATAAAACGAGTCATAGCCGTGAAAATGAGACTGTAGCAATATGCTGATAACAATCCCTCACTGTCATTTCCACGGCTTCATTTGTGCATTGCCTTCTATTTTGGCTCATGCACTTCAAACTGAATATCTTTGCATGTTGGCCAAATAAAGACAGAACTTATAGCTTCCGAGAGTTAACTTTTTGATATCCTCGCCTTACCTTATGTTTTATTCCCTTTAAGTCAGATTAGAATCGCACTTTAATATTTTCCTAGATCTTTTTTGCCTCACGAGGGAGTAACTGAAACAGCGACTGTAGCCGTGTGGGTCTGCTCTTTGACCACGTCGGGCTTAGGCTGCTCTAGCCTCGGGGGGGGGGCACAGCAGTAACCCGGGAGGCCAGCCAGCAAAGAATAAACGCCGGTGTGATTATCTAGGAGGGCGTGCAGCTTGATCAATAATGTATTCATTAACCGTTTGACTGACAATGGAACTATTTGTTCATTAAGGCTTTTCAGGGTGTTAACCAGGTGAATCTGCAAAATGTGGAGGTGCCTTTCAATTCTGGCCTCCCATACAAAGGTTTTTATTTGATATTAAGTCTGGCAAAGCATTAAAGAAGCAGCCCCCTCTTTGACCCTTTTTCAGGTGAAGTGGGGAGACCGAGTTGACGGGGTTGAGAGGGCAGTTTTGCTTTCTGCTGCCTTTGCAAACTGTTCCACCCCTTTTAATCCCTGCACTCTCACTACATGGATTAAGAGATCTGCCCTCCCCAAGCTGTTTTGCATGCAGTGACAAAAGGGGGCATTAAAGAGTAAATCGACCCAATATTTACTCAAGTAGTCTATTTCTGGACACGTTGTTTACTGAATGCAAAATGGTCACCTCTGTGTATTGGAAGTCTACTGTAGCATTGCAGAAATGCTTCAGTCTGTGTTTTTTAAAATTGTTTTTGTCATATAGCACCACATTAACAGTAGCATTAGCACCAATGAGATGCGGGTAAATGAATCTCGGGATGTGAAGACCCTGTGTGAACCAAAATTATCACAAAAACACACAAAGGAGAATACTTCTGAGACTCAATCAGCAGCATTATCTGTAAGGATGTTTTTCCGTATTTGTTCATTTGTTTCATCATGTCTTTTGGAAGTTAATTTTCTCAAAGCTCTCCACACCACAAGTTGAACTTTGATCTGTCTCGCTTCAATTGGCGCTTGAAGTTTCCAACTGGAGGTCTTTATTAATTCTGTGACCTTTGATCTGCCGTAAGTCATTACCTTAATCTGTAACTAGCTTGTGAAGAGGATGTGAGAAACTCATTCCCCTCCTAATAAGCATGATTATTACAGTTGTGGACGAGGAAGTGAGAGGGAACTCGCTAATGACAACAGTCCGTAATATCTTCAGAAGCTCACTCAGGCTCTGCAGGGCTGTGAGTCACTCTTCAGCAGAGTATTTAGGCCAGATGAGTCCTGCATGACTCTTGCGCGTCCAACATTGAAACATAATTCTTAAAGATGACTTTGGCGGCAGAAGCAGTCGAGTTGTGTGAAAGTTTTTGCTGCAGACGGTGATACGCTCTATGCATATTGCACATTTGGGTTTTGATGATCGGGGAGATGATATTTTTCCTCCAGAAAGAGATTTGGTGCCTTTGATTTCATTTTAATTTTTTTTGGCTTTGTTGCATTTTTTAATGCTTCAAAGACACATTTTTAAAATAAATCATCTCTCCTCTAGATGGGGAGCATTGGGGATGAATGGAGTTGTTTGATATCTTTTATAGGCACGTCCCTTTCATCAATTGATCCATCAGCTTGATCAAAATGTTCTGCCTTTTCTTCCAGTTCACTTTCTCTACTGTTGTTTTACAAATTTACTACATTACAAACAGGAGTGTACCAGTAGTTTATGTTTTCCTTAAAGCTCCTCTGAAACGGGGAGAAAAACAGAGTTCAAGACTATACAAATGTATTTCATCCAACCTTTTAAAAGATAGTGGTTTGAATGGGCAAGAATATTAAATGTATTAAAACTGCATGACAATCACCAATTAGCTCCATTGTTCCCTGTTCTGATAACACCTCTGCATAATGAGTAAGATTAGCCTTTTATCTAGATGAAAGACTCAATTTTCCAACAGATTCCTTAGACATGAGTTAGGCAGAGTGATTCATGAATTTCAATTAAAATGAAAGACCTACCTCCTACTTTATTATGCCATCCCTTCAGTACACCGGATCAGATCTCAGGAGAAGGGTGTGCTTCATCCTTTCTCCCATATTCAAAACTTCATTTCCATATTTCTTTTTTTCTCTAAAGGATGTGACACATTTGCATTTCCCTGTTCTCTCGCACCGATCAGAATTTGCTGATTGAAAGTAAACGAAATCAACTCATCATGGTGACATTGAATTTGTCTCCTTTTTCTCTTTGAATACTCCGCATACGGCGGACTCATTGATCACATGTAGTCAATCTCCCACCTTCGTCAGCACAAATCTTGAAGCTCTTTCCTCCCTTTTCTTTCTGCTGGCTTACTGTAATTAGACAGTTTTATGCCACAGTACTGGAGCTCAGAAATCTGCCCTAAATTATCTTTCAATCTCTGGTTTACCATTTTTGCCTTGGGAGCATTTCCGCGATTAGCACCAGCTTGTGGGTGTTTGGGATTCACTCCTCTTTCTACTCTCCTGCTGCATCCCTCCTGCTGGCGGTGGATCCTAATCGAAGCCTGATTGAGTGATAATCTATAGCAGCACTGTTCAGGCTTGCAGCCAGCTCTCTGCTGACCTCTCTGCCTGCAGGATGAGCACCATGAAAACAGAACAACAAAACCACCCCAGGGCTTTTGTTACACATATGCTGTCCTCCTGCTCCTTATTCACCTTTGATCATAGAGCAAAGAACAAAAAAAGCAAATTGTGGTTAAAGCGTTTAATGAGTTTGATCAGTGAAGGCGATGGTCTGTCTGTTCTGCTGTCCTTGGATTGTGTATCATCCGTCCACAGGCTGCGTTAGAAGACTGCTGATCCCCACCAGGCGGGGTTTCTCTCTCTCTCACTGCCCTGACCGTCTAATTCTTCAGATAAGAGTCTGCACTTCTTAACCCTGCTGGTCAGATGACCTTGACTACCACAGATTTATTCATGCTAAGCGACTATTTTTGTGATACATTTCTTTTTTGGCTTCACAAAAAAAAAATGGCACTGTGGGTAAAAAAAAAAAGAGAAAACTCCATGTAGGTCACTTTATTATCCAGCTGAACCGAACCTCGGACTCTTGTAAGCGCACTCACAGGCATACTGATGTCGACCCAATCAATGGGTGCCGTGTTGCTCAATATGAATGATCAAGAAAACTGCACACTTGGTAAACACTGCGGTGCCTGGACCTGCTACATTAAAGCATCACTATATGACAAAGCACTGGCTGATCAAATTAGAAGGGATTTACAACTTGTTCCTTCATTGCTCAGCCTGCTGATAACGGCTCATTGTGGAAAGTAAAGCTATGTTATAAATAGAGATGTTGACCAAAGACCCAATCTGCTAAGAAATCATTCAGCCCTGTGTCAAGTAGACAAGATTGATACTGAATATGAGTGCCACGGCTAAGATTTAGTCCCCTGATGGTATTAGGGAGATATTGAGTGTTCAATTTTATGGGCCATTTTCCTTCAGCTGTTATCTGGGTGGTTTTCATTATGCTGTTTATTGGTGGTTTAATGATGTTTTACACTCTGCTTGTGTGCGTGCTAACTCAATTATAAACCACACTAATGAGGGATGGTTTCTTTGCTGCAGCTCTGTGTACAGAGGAGTGTGTCCATGGCCGCTGTGTGTCTCCTGATACCTGCCAGTGTGAGCCGGGATGGGGCGGACTGGACTGCTCCAGTGGTGAGTGAACTTCCTTTCTATAAGCCTACAATTAGTCTTAGACTCATTTATTCCTAAACGGCTTTCACAGCCAGTTAGTCCATAAGAATTTCCTGTTTTGCCTCAATGTGCATCTATCTCAAAGCTGCTCAGCTTTGTATCCTCTCTTCTTTGCAAACACAGCCAATGGAACAGGTAAGTCACAATGAATTCATTCTCATTTGCTGGAAGTGGAAGTGATTTGCTTGATGAATATAGCGTATGGATGGATGGTTGCACCCCCCTCCCCCCTCTTTGTCTACCAAGCTTTCTGTTATAATCTTAATCATGATTAGACTGGTGCCCACGACTTGTTCAGTGGAATGAGGAATCAATGCCAGGCTGAAACAAACCATTGTGCTGGCCTCTCTGTTTACCAGGGTTTCCCTGCAGCTCCCAAAGCTGGACTCCAGGAGGTATGGGAGGGTGGAGGGGAACAAATCCATCCCGCAATCAGCTAAATGCTGGAGCGTTACTAAAGCCAGACAGGAGGAGGGAATCTATTTACTCCTTTGTGATATTTGTGTCCGCAGAGAAATAGAAAATGTGCATATGGGAGGCTGTTGTTCCCATAAAACACTAACCAACTCACTATTTTTTGCATCAACCTTTCTGATACCAAATTCTTACCTTGCACTGTCTGCTCCCTGTAGCATTTAACTGTTATTGCCTGTTGCACATTTAGGAATGAGTAATGGGAGCTAAAATCATATCAGTAGTGTTATTGTATGGATCTATGAGTTTTCATTAGCAAGAGAGCCATTCCCTGATTAGCAACCGTGTGTAAATCAGCTGCTCTCAGTGCAGCGTCGGCCCAGTGGAGGTGGATTCATGGGCTTAGATGACAAACAGGAGCTGTTTGCTGTTGTAAACTCCTTCAAAACTGGTGAGGGTCTAACATGGATGATGTGAGGTTCAGGGCCCTCAGGGACTCTTGTCCCACTCCCGGTTGGTTAGAAGTGCAGCCGTGTGTGCCTACCAGCCTTGCAGGTGCTGGGCTGATCCACCTTATTAAAACAGACTTGATTGAGACAGAGGCATTATTCATAACTTAAGATTTCCATACCAGGCATGATTCCAGGCTTTTTCATTTACGAGCTTTCATCTGTAGAAATGAGGAATGCGTGCCAATTTTTAAATTAAATCTGCCCCCTTTTTTTCCTTCTTGTAAATGGTTCAGCATGTTTTTTTGTCTTTTACTGTAAATTTAACTTTCAACCAGCTCAAAAAGGTGAAGGGAACTTGTCTCTCTGTACGTGGATGCTGCTGTCATTATAATGGGCTTAACTGTGGTACATCTATCTATCTTTGCTATGGTTTATTCGCTACTAATTTTACAGCCATCCTGTTTGAGTTGAAGTATTTGTTCTCGCATATAAAAGCTAATTCCCTGACACGATGGCTGCAGAGAAGGGTAGAATGAGCTGGTCACATGATGAAGGATGTGAATGTGATTTGAAAAAAGTGTGTCGCTGAGATGAGGAGCTGCTGTGGGCTGCAGAGCAACCTAAAGCTGAAGTGACAGCCTTTCAGACACCGATCTGGAGCTCGATCAAAGGCTTGGACCTCGTTTCTGGAGCAGCACCCACCAGGAAGCAGTTTTGTATATGGGTCAGGTGGTGAAAATAAAAGATTTGGACTGTTTGTGGCCAGAGAAGAGAAAGCGATAAGGTTGTGGTGGTGTGTGGAGGGGATTCAGTGTTGGATGCAGCGAAGACATCGTCTGTTTTTCCCCCCGCTGGTGTCCACCTGCTGTAGCCAGAAAACATTTCATCCTTTTCCCCGGCCTGAGGCAATGGTCCCACTGAGATCAGACCTGCTCTGTGACCCATCTGCAGTCCTGGGGTGCCTAAGATTCATCTCAAGGACACACTGGTAGACGTGGACAACAGATAAAACAGGGAAAAGCAGGATGTTTGCTGTTGACAGTTATTTGCAAATGTTGTTCGTCCTCCTTCTTTCACATGTGGATTTGGAGCATTCTGAGGCGAGGCTTTGTTTTCCCATAAGAGCGATGAATGATTAATTGTTGATGTTGGTTGATGTGATGTCTCTCTAATGCTTGTGTGTTGTGTTTGTGAACGTGGTGTTGAACATGTTTCTCTGATCACATGCAATGATATTATTTTATCTCATGATGCCAAGGTCAGGGCTTTAAGACGACCTGTACCTTCAACTTTGTGTTTTTTTTTGTCTATTTCTTCTGTTGTGCTTGTGTTTCTGCTGCTTTGTCTTCTTTTCTCTGTATATGGAAATGAACTGTTTCCTTCTCTTTTTCTGCCAATGCGAATACTTTTTTTTAAACAGAACTTGTTGTCTTGAAAATATTTCCCTCAGTCTGATTTTCACCGTGTAAGTAAACAAACATTAGACTTAATAAAACAGAGTGAGCATTTTTTTTTTCATAAGCAGTTAGGATGGACCGGGCTCTGCTTATGGGACTGAACAGTTTGTCTTTAGTCATTTCAGTCACTAAAGTTAGATGCTAGGTTCGGCCAAAGTAGTGATATTAGTGTGTGTAGTTTGCAACAAATGTCTGTTGCTGTAAAAAGAAGCAGGAGATGGTATTGGAAATCTTTTATTTGCAGAATATTATTATTTTCTTGGTTTAAAAGTTTGTTTTTCTTTTGCAAATGAAAAGAAATGACCCAGTGTCTTTGCATTCATCGCTGCTGACTTTTTACCACTTGTGATTTAATCCCTCTATATGAGTCTGACATACAGCGTCTCTGATTGCTACAGTAATAACAGCTTTCAAAGACAGAGAATTTCAAAGATAGATGTATGTACAAGGTCTATTTAAGGTGTCTTTAAGCATGACTGCCATCACTGCTGAAATATTGGGTGCACTGAAGCACTATCATCGATTTCATGTGCTTCAGTCAGATAATGATATGTTCCCAGAAAGAAGAAATATGCTTTGAGAAAGAGCTTTGACTCTTCCTCCTCTCTGCTTTTTACTGGAGTCTGTTTTTCCCTATAGTGGTGATAAAGTGTACATGCCTGTGAAGACCTTTCTTAAAGTCAATGCTACCCAGATCCTTATCTAAAAAGTCCAAAGAGTAGTTTAGCTTTGTTTACCATGCAGCATCCTTTGTGTTCTAAGGAGAAATCTATCACACTTAATAGCCAAATCTAATGTGGTTGGTCAGCTGCGGTTCATGAGGTAACATATTCCGCCCTTATGTATTCAAATGGGAAGGCAGCCACTGCTGCGGGTGCTTTACACATGGTTAATTGATGAATGTGGCCCATGAACACTTGTTTATGGAATATTACACCAGACAGGGGGTCACATGCTGCTTATTTTATGTATATTATCAACTAAAACAGAAAGATTATTCATTATTAATGCTTTTAATTAGTAATGGTTTTATTAGATATTGAATTCATTGCATTAGAATAAGAATTGAGGCTGGGTCAAGCAGACGGTAAGTTTTGTTAGTTCATTTAATTGCAGATAACGCTACAACCAAGCAGCCCTGATGCTACATGAATGCTTAACCAGAGCAGAACTAAAAAGTTTCGACTTCATTTTGGCATGAAAAACACCCTGGTGAGGACTCCCTCTGGCACCCGTCGACAGTATTTACACATTATTCTCAAAAGTGCATCTGTGCCAGATGGTTCCTCTCCAATCCCACAGCAGCAGGACATTGACATGCATCGCTGTCAAAGACCAAGAGACTGTGAAGTACATTAAACAGGACAGAGCTGCACACACAGATAACTCTGCCTTTTCACTTTTTTTGTCACAACCTCACACCCTTCACTTGTTACAGATGGACAGTTCAATACTTGTGCCTGTGGTGTATAGAACATGTTTGTGTGCTTTTTTGACGGTCGACATCAGTGTGAGGTCATGCTATTTGTTGCCACATATCAGCAAGAAAAAAAACCTGAAAAATTAGATTTGATCTGCCTGGCACCCTTTAAACAAAGTCTTAATCCATTAAATTCCTCATTACCCCTTCATGTAAAAGAGACATTTTTGGATAATTATAAATATTCTATTATTCTGAAAGGGGTTCCTTTCTTGTAACAGTCGATGCCAACTGCCTCATTCATTTTGGAAGATCAAAGCAGCAAGGCAACAGTGTTTCTCAAGGGGACATGAGATGGACCGATCCATGGCTCCTTGTGCAACACAGTTAGCACGCTGTAAGTGTGCATGTGTATGTCTGTTTGTGTTTATCCATGACGCCCTCCTGCCTTGACAGAGCTTTGTTTTTGTATAGTTCACTGGGCTCCCGGGGAGTGTTGCAGCCAGTTTAGATACTGCCAAGTATGTGACAGTGTTATTTATTTCTCCACAGCACAGAGTTCATTCTTATTGAGATATCACGTCTTGTCTGACTCCATAACGTCCTGATGAAGTGAAGCTGGTTGCGCTAGTTTTTCTTCGGTTCAAACTTAGAGCATCTAAGAGGATCTTTCATTTTACCTCGGGTTTGGCAGCCCAGGAGGACGAAGGCTTGTAAGCCTGGTGTTGTTAAGATCTTGATTTGGTGACTGAGTGCATTTGTTTTGGAAGGGGGATAAATACTTTCATTTGTATGGATAATATTTTCTTTTTTAGACACAGCCATTTGCAAGATGAACAGAAGTAAGTTGACTTTGTAAGTAACAATGATAAACTTTCTGTATCTTTCCAAATAACAGATTTGGTTGATTTGTTCTAGTAACCACAGCCTAATCAAAAATAATGCTTCTCATTTCTTCATCATAATACAGCAACAGAAAGATGCAGCTCTGTAAGAAGATCACAGTTGTTACTTGTTTTGCAATAATGCCCACAATGTCCTTAATGGACTGTACACAGCCTCGTCCCCCGTCACATTTCATGGATAAAATACACATAGGCCTATACACACCTCTCTTCCCTTTATTATATTCTCTATCTTCTACCTCATGCTTGATCATGGCCTTTACATTGTGTAGTATTCTTCCCAAAAAAATCCCTTCCTTCTTCCTTTTCAATG